GAAAAGCCCACTGAGAAGTGGTGTTCCAGCAGCCTGCACATATCTCTTTCAGGAGGACAAGCAAAGTCAGATGCTGCTGAGAACTGAGTGACAGAAGGAAGGAGAAGTGCCCCATGAATTTAGCTTATTAACAAGTCTGTGCTGGGTGCCCTGGACAGGGTAGGGGTCTTACCTGACTGTTCATCTCTTTTTCCTCCTCAGGTTGGGATTCTCTTACAGAAGCATCTAGAGAATGAGAAGATTCTATCTCATGCAAGATTCCTGAAGTCCCTGATCCCACACACCCCTCCCAATTTAGGTGGGCAGACCAAGGTTCATTGAGAGGCAGGGATGTGCCTGGAACCACACAAATTTGAGACTTCCATGCTTCTTCACCCCTAAGCCTAGCAGCCTTCCCAAGCACTCCTCCTGCCCTTGTATCCCACCAGAACCTTACCTCCTCCAGAATTACACTGGTTCTGCTCCTGGACATTGGTCATGGAGCTGGAGCTGAGGGAGGAGAGCAGGAGCATTAGGCAGTGGTGAAGGAGCTACAGGTGGAGGTGGGAGGTCTAGGGAGGGTTTGGGGGAAAAAATTACCTTTTCTGTAGTGCTCTGGTCTTAGCTTCAAGGTCTGAAGCACCTGCACAAAGTTGGAAGTTAGCTTCTAAACTACCCAAGAACCCAGCCCTCAGGGCTGCACTAAGATCTCAGAAGCTATAATTTCATAAGCAAAATTAAACAGTTGTGCTCAAAACCTGTATGGTTGATTTAAATAAATTTTTATGAACCTGAAAGACCATTTTTGACAGTCTAAGTCTGTTCTTATTACATCTCTTCAGTTTCATAGAGGATGGTATTTAGAAGCCAAGATCTGGATGACAGGTGTGCTTTTATATATATTTAATTAGGTCATACTATAAGAGAGAATGAAAAGAATATAATCTTTATGCAATATAGTACTAACCATAATTAAATGTACTAACTAATAAACTAGCAAGCCTGTTAGAACAAAAACAGGAACAACATTTTTTTTTCTAACAACTTCTATTTTAGCACATTGCAGGAACCAGCAGCAGTTCCAGTTTCTGTCCAGAGCAGACCGACTGCAGGAATCTGGCTGATCTGAAGGCTGATTCAGGAATGCTGCCACCAAGATCTTTGTCAGAACCAGCAAGGACACTGCTTGTACAGCCCCACTTCCCTTCCCTCTCCGTATAGAAGCCACTGGCTTGACCAGAGAGGTTAAGATGTTTTTTTAGGACAGGAGTCTGCCAACTTCTAGGGTCACATGCACCTTAACAAACTTCTTTCCTTCTCCCCAGCACCTGTCTCACCTGTCTCAGCTTTCGTCGAGGCAGGCAGCTGAACTTGCATTCAGTAAAAATGCTGACATTTTCAATTCCAATGGAACATCTCAGTGTTTTCTAGCCAACTGCCTTTGCACATTTTAAAATTCTTCACAGGCATTTAACCCCATATATTTACATATTCCCTCAAAGCAATGAAACTCCCAACCACTTCAACCCCCACCCCCAATTCTCACCACCATGCCCACTCCGCACTGCTCTGGACTTCAGGATGACAATGACACCTTCTTGCTCCCCCTCCCCATCACCGGCATGGTCCCTCAGGTTCTGGGTGCACGCCTGCTACCTCCACACAGGACCGACCCCTCCTGTCACAGCTGTGTTTACATGGGAATCTCAGGTCTCTGCCCCAAAAAGATTATCAATGGAAACTGGGGTAGAAAGAGCTTTCTAGAAATTTTTGATTGTTTAATAAGGAGAAATTTCAGAACTGAACTTTTTTTGGGGTGCCATATTTTGGCTGGTGCCCTAGGAAGCCACTTCATATGTCTTTAGAGGAAGGTCACCCCTCTCAGGTAGACCAGGTCTCCCCATCTTCTACTCACCTGATTTGCTGCATTTATTCAGATGCTTGAGGAGGAAGAAGAGGAAGAGGAGGAGGGAGAGCAGCAGGATGAAGGTCACGGACACCCCGATCAGAATTTTCTCGTACTTTTGAAAACCTTGGACACAATGACATCACAAATGAGCCAATGATGCCACTTAATCGAGCACCTACAGTGCGCCAGGCACGTTTTGGGGTCTGTGAATTAATCACTTCTAAGCCTCATAACAATCAAGCAACATGTGAATGCCAATCCCACCTCCACTCATTTCACAAACGAGGAAACCGAGGCTCAGAGAGATAAATTGGATGCCCCAGGCCACCTGGCCTGGAAGTGGCAGAGCTGGGATGTGAACCCAGGACTGTTCTGCTCTTGTTGCCCCACCAGACAGACACCAGCTTCTAGCTCAGGGGGCTGCTTCTCTGATTGGAGTGGCCTGCCCCCTGCTCCTCCTGTGCTCTAGCCCTGCCCTTTAGCTAGACTTCAATGCACCTCCCCAGCCATTCCCACTCACTAACCCATCTGAGCTTAGGGGGACCTAAATGGGACAGCTTGTAGCCAGGGTCTGTGTGGGATGGACTCTGTGTCCTCCCCAATCTCTACGTCCAGCCAAGATCTGTCCTCTGTCCTGCAGACCCCACACTCCCACGAAGGACCTGCCAGAACTTTTCCAAGTGTGTATCTGGGAGGGGACATGAGGATGGATCTGCCATTTCCTGAGCACTGGATGGGCCCACCCCACACCGAGAGCTTCTATTTCTGGGGTCTCCCCCGAATCTCTTAGCAAACCCATGAGGGAGATGGTAGGAGACACTTTTCACAGACAATGAATCTGGGACTCAGAGAGGGGATGTGGCTTGTCCGAGGCCCCACAGCGGGGAGGCAGCAGAGCTGGAATTCACATCCCTTAGAGCCTGGTCTCCAAGCTCTTGTTTATATTTGATTTTTATGTTTTTCCTTCTATAAGAACAGGCTGAGCACCACAGGCTGATGGGAAAGCACTGAGATGCCACCCCTGTCACTGCCCTGTTCACCTCGAACACCCAACACTGCCTGCTCTTCATTTCTGCAGACCAGGGCGGCACCTGCAGGGCCAGAGCTGAGAAGGCCTTTGGGATCTGAGGCAGATTCTCCTCTATCGCACGGGGTGATGGTGG